CCACCAACGGTCTGGTCCCAGGGGCCGTGCGCCTCACGGTCCCAGGCCGTGATGAATGGCTTCCTGATGCGCAAAAGGAGAGTGTAACCAAAGCCGAGCAGCGCAATGGGCCGTTCCCCCCCGTCAGGCTTCGGAATGAGGGCGATCAGCGCAAAGAGCTGCTGGAAAGGCAAAGTGCACTGCTCTTCAATGGACTCGAGTAACTGTATTAGGTGGGTCTTGGCATCTTCGCTAGCTTCCTTAATTTAACGCGGCTCAATAAGATCCAAATCCTGACCCCTGGAGTCAGGCATCGACTTGAGCGCGCGATTGAGGGTGTGAAGGTCAATGGGTGGCAAACGCGGGGACGACCGAGCACGCTTACGCAGGGCAGCCAACGCAGCCCTCGCTTCAACCTTATCGTGCTGTTGCCAGATGGCCGTCCAAGCGGCTGCTTCAAAATCTAGAAGCTGATCCAGGGCTGAGCAGGGTCCGTCCTCACCGATCTTTTCGGCCGCCAGGGGGTCCAGGGAGGGCTTAAGCAAACGGTGGGCCGGCCCCGCAGACCTGAGGAGCGCGCCCTGGAGCCAAGCCTTCCACGAGGCCTTCTGAGCCTGAAGGGCGTCGCGGTGGGACTTCTCAGACACCTGCTGAAGTTCAGATAACAAGTCATGCAGCCGGTCAAAAGGTATGATACCAGAGAAAAACCCAATCAGAATTTTTGGGGGGCTATGGGGCTTTAGGGCTTTAGGGCTATGGGGCTATAGGGCTATAGGGCGATGTGGCCATAGGGATTTAGGGCAAGAAGCCTTTAGGGCTATGGGGCTATAGGGCTACAGGGCTATAGGGCTGTAGGGCTAAGGGCTATAAGACTATTCGGGCTATAGGGCTATAAGGCTACAGGGCTATATACGGCTATAGGGCGTTAGGATCATAGGGCTATAGGGCTATAGGGCTATAGGGCTATAGGGCTATAGGGCTATAGGGCTATGGGGCTATGGGGCTATTGGGCGATTGGGCTATTGGGCTATAGGGCTGTACGGCTATAGGGCGATTGTAGTGCTATGGAGATATAGGGCGATTGGGCTATTGGGCTATAGGGATATAGAGCTATTAGGCTAGGCACCCCCGGGCACTTCTGGGCACCCCGGGCACCCGGGCACCCTTGGGCACCCGGGCACCCGGGCACCCCCGGGCACCCCCGGGCACCAGGGCACCCGGCCCCGGCCACCGAAATCGGCCACACACCTGGGCACCCGGGCACCCCCGGGCATCCCCGGGCACCCGGGCACCCGGCCCCGGCCACCCGGGCAATCGGCGGCACAGACTGCCCAACCCTTTATATCCGCTAGGACCCCTATAGAGGCAAGCTATGATTGGGGAATATCGGGAATCTGCTGAAAACGAGTCCTCCACAAGTTAAAGGTGCCACACTGGCCAGCATCTGAAGGATCCGACGGGGAGGGGGGCACCTGCTGAGGAAGCCAAGCCAGAGTGGCACGAAATTGAGCAGCATGCTTTCGGTGAGGCTGCGGCGGGATGTCATCAATGGAGTCCTGTGGGACAAGCTTGAGCAACAGCTTAAGCTTGACGAAGGCGGCCTGCCAGAAACGGGCGTCACGATCAGCCTGGCAGGGCCCTTCAACCTGGGCGGCCATGCGGGGCACCCAACGCAACCTGGGCTCCTGGCAACGACCAATATACTAAAAAACCTGGTCCTGAGTCAAGCCAAGCTTCGAAAAAGCCTCCAGCTCAAGAGCAGCCATCCAAGTAGACAACTGGGCCCCTAAATCGAGGGAGACCTGAATATTGTCATGCTCTAGCTTGAGGAGACTGGCAGCAGCATAGTTGGCCGTGAAGAAGCCTGGCCGCTCACGTTGCAGGAGCTGAGCCCGCACCAAGAAGTGCGGCCAGGCTTCTACAGGGGCAACAACGCCTTTGACAGGCAGAGGTTTGGGTCGCATGGCCTTCCAAACCTTGATGCCCCTGGGAGACGCCGAGACCAGAAACCCTAAAGCAGCATGCGTGCCCCAAGGCACTGGAATGAGCGACCTAAACTGGACGGCACTAGAAAAGCAAGCGGAGACTGAAGCGTAATCGATCCGACTGGTGGTGACTCCAGAGCACGTAACTGAAACACCAGGCATAGGCACAGGGACGAGGCCGAGGGGCTCCAGCCAACCTGACTCCTCGAGAACACTCTGGTCAACCTGCCAGTCACCCACCACGAGGGCGGGAACACCTGCCGCACTCAGATGGGCGCCGAGGTCCGCCAGCAGCTCGAGGTTCTGACCGTTGAGCTCGCCCCCCGTGACAAGGTAGACAAGGGCGATGGTCAGGGAAACCTTCCGAAGCCTCAGAGTGCACAGTAGCCACCGAGCCGTACCAGCGGTAGTCCATTCACCCGCCTCACAAGTCAATTGCGAGAGCCCTAGATGAGAGCGGGCAGCCACAAGGACACCTGACGATGCATCATCAGCAAGCGTGGGCTCAGCGGCCTGCGCCACAACCTTCCAGCCCAGCTTATGTAGCTTCTTGACCATCGCCTGGAACTTGGAGCCGCGCATCCTGTGCTCAACGAAAATGATGATATCCGCCGAGCACCCAGCAACCCACCTGCACGCAGCGGGGCCCCACGCGCTGATGTTGGAGTAGACAATGGACAAAGAGCGCTGAGAGGCGGTGTCGCAGACGCTGTCAGGGTCGGGCCCAGAGCCATGACCCTCATCCTCAACTTGCAATACTTGGTCGCCGTCCAAACCATTAGGTTCACCACAGGTAGATTGCTCCAACCCCGCAGGCAGCATAGCTGGCGTGGGCGGCCCTGCAACGAGTACACCTGGCGAATCAGGATTCCCAACAACACAAACAGGAGATCCACCAGTGGTGACGATGGCCTCGGTAGAAGCCGTGCCCGATCCAGCAGATGCCGCCGCCGAAGAGGAGCCCGTACAGCAAGCACATGTGGCGTCGTCTGCCGCGCCTCCAGCAAGACACGCGCCGCGGGATCCCGTACTGAGGTCTTGGCTGAGCCAACCTGCAGCAGGTGCCGTCCGCGGGGTCATCGCCTTCGCAGGCACGGCGAGTGAGCGCCCAACGCACGAAATCGAAGGAGACAAGGAAGCACCAGAAAAAGGTCGCCACAAGCGGGGACGAGGAGAAAGAGCCGCCTGCCGTCGAAGTGGACGGTGCCGAAGAGAGAGAACCTGAAGAGGCCGATCTTGAGTAGGTACCAAAAGACGAGCTGCAGGTAGATGCGCTGTCACACCCGTGACCACCATGAGCAGAGCTAGGAACCAGGCTCGCGAGCCCCAACCTTGGCCCGAGCCGCAGCCGCCTTGGCCCGTGCGATGGTGTCAGAGCGCGCCTTCGCGATCCTCTTCTCCTTGTCGGTCGGCTCAGCGGGGGTGGCAGCAACGATGGGCACAGCCTTCGCCTCCTCAGCCGCAGGCACCTGAGATGAAGCTGCACCCTGGCTAGCCGCGACTGGAGGAGCCGCAGCGCCAACTGACCCATCCGTAGTCTTGCGCCTCTTACGCAGTTCACCCATGCGCTTCTGGTACTCCTGCTGGTGCTCCTTGTATTGGGACTTAACGCTCTTGGGCGCTTCATGCAAGAGGGTCTTGACCTGCTGCGACTGCTCAAGCTTGAACTTTTCAAAGCCCTCGCGGTCCTCAGCCGAGAAAGCAGGCCCCGAGACGTCCAACTCCTCCCCAAAATCAAGCTTGATCTCCTCAGCGGAGTCCTTGAAGAGGTCATCGAGAGAAATGACATTCTTGACGGGAGTAGGCTCAACATCCTTAAGCACTCCGACGGCCAGCGTACGAGTGGCTTGCTCAAGAATATCAGCGTTCTCCATGTCCTTGGCCATGAGCTCGTCCAGGAGCTTGTCAAGGTCGCTGGCCTCCTTGTCGAGTACCGCACGGCGGGCCAGGGCCTTGTCGAGCTTCTCCTGGGAAGCCTTCTTGGCCTGCGAGGCACGCTGCCGCTCGGCCTGAGGCGTCGCCTGGGGCTGTGGCGGCGGCTTTGGCACGAACTGGGAGTGCATCTTCTGGGCCATTTCAGGCGCAAGGTGCGAGGCAGCTTCCTTGACAGCCGCAAGAGCTTGAGGAGGGATGGCTTCAGAGGGCCCATTCTGCAGCTGCAGCGCCTGTGTACCTTTGCGCCAGCGCCCCTTGGACTTGCCGCCACCATCACCCCATCCTGATTCTTCAGCGCCTGCGTACGACAGCATCTGGCCGCCGACGCCAGAGGGGCTGGGAGGGTGACACTGGGACTGACATCCGACACAGAAGTTGCGCCGCTTGGCCAGGAGGTCATTCCACGTCCAATGGCCACAAGCGCACACAGTGTACAAGCGAACACCACGAGTATGCCCAGCCTTGGCACCCCCAGGCGGCACTCGGACCCAGGGCTGCCTCGTCCAAGTGTCTTCCGCATCGTCGGGGATAAGCCACGGGGCGGGGACCATCGCGGCGTCGTAGCAACTGGCTCCGTGAGGAGCACACGAGAAATGGGCTGCCAGAGGCCCGTGCAGTACTGGCAAAAGCTGTCAGGCGCAAGGCCTTGGCACTGCCGCGGACTAGCGGTATCCACTTGTTCCGCTGGGGAACTCAAAACCTTGAGCCAAAATGGCTTGAGCCAAAATGGCTACGGTGGAAGGTGAGGAGGAGGTGGAGAAGGAGGAGGAGGAGGAGGAGGAGGCCGATGGGAAGGACGAGGAGGAGGAGGATGAGGAGGAGGAGGAGGAGGAGGAGGAGGAGGAGGAGGAGAAGAAGGAAGAGGAGGAGGAGCAGAGAGCAGCAGGGAGCAGCAGGGAGGAGCAGGGAGGAGCAGGGAGGAGTAGGGAGGAGGAGGGAGGAGGAGGCGGAGGAGGAGGAGGCGGCGGAGGAGGAGGAAGAATAGGAGAAGGAGCAGGAGGAGGAGGAGGAGGAGGAGGAGGAAGAGGAGGAGGAGGATGAAGGAAGGAATGAGCCAGACCGCCAGCATGCTCCCCCCCCCGTGGGGCGCCTGCCAGCCAGGTGCACCCCGAGCTCCACCTCTCCGGGCGCCACGAGCTCCGGCGCTCTGCTGTCGCCAGAGCCGCCGGAGGCTCCCTGGCCTTCTTTCGGGGACGGCCAAGAGGGGGGTGAGAACTAGGGGGATGGATCTCATGGCGAGGGCCATGATTCCTCCCCAGAATTTATGGCGCCTTTCCTTATTTTGATATGTCCCTTGCACCCCCCCCCTTGGCCACGCACGTGCCTCGGGCCATGATTTGCGATTTCCCCTTTCAGACGCCCCGTCTTGGACGCCCCCGATTCTTTTTACCTCGCAGGGGGGGCGAGGGCAAGGACGCTGTTCAGAGGAGGACAAGGTACCGAAACCGCTACCCTTCGCCCGTTTTCCCTTGTTTGGGGACTATTGGGAGGCCCTCGGCGCCACCGCTGGATTCGCCCCGAGATCCTGGTCAGAACGCTCCCCGGGAGGGGCGTGGGAGTAGCGATATCGGTACCTTTGAGTCCCCCCAGCGGTGCGGGAGGAGCGTGGACGAGGGCAGGGACGCGTTGCGGGCGGAGTGGAGAGCGCGTTCGCCGGGGCGCGAGGGAGGCTTGCGGCTGGGAAGGGCGGGCGCGGGCGCTGCGGCGGACGCAGCATCACGCTGACCACGCCGGCGGCGACGACCACGACGACGACCACGACCGCGACCACGACGGCGGCGACCACCACGACGACCCAAGGCGGCGGACGCAGGAGGACGGCGCGCTCCGCGCGGCAGAGGCCAAGAAGAGACCCACGAGACTGCCTTCGGCGAGCAGGATCATCAACGGGGGCAAAGACCACGGCCGCGCCCTCGGGCGGGCGGCCCCCTTCCGGCGCGGTCCCGCCGGATCCCGGGGGGGGGGGGCCCTCCCGCCGCCCCCGCTGGAGTCGCCGTCGACGTCGTGGTCGTGGTGGTGGTGGCGGTCATCGTCGTTGTCGTCGTCGTCGTCGTCGTCGTCGCCGCCGTCGTCGTCGCCGCCGCCGCCGTCGTCGTCGTCGTCGTCGCAGTTGTGGTCGTCGTCTTGGTGGTGGTTGGCATCGTCGTTGCACTCTTGTTTGTAGCTGTGGCTGTGGTTGTCGTCGTCGTCGACGTGGTTGTTTCCGTCCTTGTCGTCGTCGTCGTCGTCGCCTCCGATTCCAGCCGCCCTTTCGCTAGTGGCTGGGAGGCGCCGTCGCCTGGGATGCCCCGCCGCGGTTGGCCAGCCGCAGGTCCGAGATCCCTCTCTTCTTCACCACTTCCTTCCCTCCATCCCCCTTTTTTCAGCTTTGGTCGGACAAGTTGTTTTTGCTTTGGTCGGACAAGCTTGTTCCTTCTCTCCATCCCTATTTTTTTGCTTTGGTCGGACAAGCTTTGGCCGCGGAACCGTAGCGTCGTGCCCCGTCCTCCTCCTCCTTCTCCTCCTCCTCCTCCTCCTCCTCCTCCTCCTCCTCTTACTCCTCCCCCCTCCCGCTCCCCCCCTCCTGCCCCGTCTCCCCTCCTCGTCTCCGCCTCCTTCCCCCCCTCCTCCTCCCGATGTGTTTCCTTTTGTTCCGCTTCTTCCTCCTCCTCCTCTGGACATGCCAGAGACAGGCTGCGCGTCTGACCGGGCCCGCCGACGGCCGAGGCTTTCGCGGAGTCCGCTTCCAGGCTCGCTGTATTGGTCTGGGCCCGAGGGTCCCCGACCCAGCGCGCGGCCACGGCACAGAACGCCCAGCATTGCCGTTGATCGCATCGCGAGGCTGGACACACGGCCATCCCAGCGTGTGAGCGATTCGTGCAACACGCCATGGCCCCCAACGCTCCAACAAACCGCCCTGATAAACCAGACCCCCCCCCGTTACCGAAAAGCCGCCTAACAAACAGGACCCTGGGGACGATCAATAGGGCATTTGGAGTACAGTAGAAGCTCGAGCACAAGAAGCCCTTTCAGTGCCCCCGCGCGCGCCATGGCTCCAACGGGTCAGCGCCGTGCGCCTTCAGTTCCACCGCGGCCCAAGTCACCAGGCCAGGGCCGCCAAAAGGCAACCTTACATCCATGACCGCCAGGACAGCAACCTGCCCCGCAAGGAAGCCTGCGTCGCCGCACTCCAGAACAGTGGCGGCGTCGACCGAGCAGTCGGTGCAGGCAACGAGCTCGCCCACAAGCGCCAAGCACAACTTGGCATCATACCAATGACATCGCTTCGACCAGCCCAAGGTGAATCGGCGAGCTGATGAAACTGTGCAGGAAATCTAAGATCAGCAACGCCACTCTGCATTATTCGCTGGCGCTCAAGACGGGCCCCTGCCGTGATTCACCAGGGCTCACGGCTTCGGCCGATACCCTCCCCGGATCGGCTTGGAGCTCACAAGGGCCAAGGACGGCACATCATACAACTGTAGTTTTTCATTGCACACGCTAGGAGAAGGAAGCCGCCTTCTGCAGCATATCCGCGTGCAGGATAAACCTCTCGCCCAAATCGTCCTGGGACCCGCCAGTACCGACGAACCAGGGCACGAAATCCTAATCCCTGTGCTTCGTAGGGCGGCTAAGGCTACCCGGCCCGCGCCAGGCCACATCCAGAGAATTGTGTACCAAATAGGCCGCACTGAAGTCAAATGCTTGCGGAACGTGGCCCAGCTGATTCTGGACCCCGCAAGCAATGATATTGTATGGCTTGCGGAGACATTCGAAACGGATGCCACTGCCGCAGCATTGTTTCTCCTGGAGCTCTTAAATGGCAGATCTCAGGAGGAGCACCAGTCAAGGGCGCGCGGCAGCCGGGAGAGGCAGACACGGCCCAGTCTAGGGCCAAAGAGCGTTACAAGGCAGCCAAGCGTGACCCTTCACGAAGACAGTTTGACGACGACCTCGCAGACGCTTGCACAGCCATCTTCACCTTCCACTTTCGCACAGTCCCCCTCCAAGAACCCATGCAGCTGCCAGGGCGCCGCGGCGCGGTGACAGGCAAGCGGAGACTCGCCGCTACTTTTGGCATGATGACCTGCCGACGTCTGGACAGTCGTCTCTGCGTTCTGGGCGAGGAGGCATCTAGTTTGACATCGGTTCGACCGTCACTTGCACCAAGCCGAAGCGGCGGCTGTCGAACCCCGAGGAATCGACGCGGTACTCGCTAACACCAAGTGTCGAATCGCATGCGTCGAGCCCTGGAGTGCCACGAATGGCACGCTGCCACAGTCTTTGCACCCCCTCGGATGGCATTGCGATGTCCAACGCGCGAGGTGGGACAAGGCGATTAGGAGTGACTTTGCCATTCCCACGGCGGCACGGGCCCCCCTTAATTCAACCGCGCGCGTCCAGGGCTCAATCGGCTCCTTGGGGCACGGCGCAGGTGGAATCTACAGCCGCGGAGGAAACGCCATGAATTCACCGACGGCAGAAATCATATCGCCAGAGGCCATCGCAGCGGATGCAGACGCGCAGGGGTCGCCACTGGGCGGCCCAGGCGCTGGCGCTACACCGACACTCCAAGACAGGACTGCAACCGGGCCGCGCCTCCAAGCGGGGCCGAAACCACCGCCCAACCAGCGGCGGGTGGCGTCGGCCGCAGTGGCGCCATCACTGGAGCAGAAGCAATGGGGTGCCAGCGCGAACGGAGCGCGCCAGGGCTCTGTCAGTGCGCGCCGCGGACTCCCGCGAGAGAGGGCGCCCCCGTGCCCGCCGAGGTCCTACTGGGGCACTGGGGAGCGGAGGGCCTCGCCATGTATGAAGATGGCGCAGAACTCGACTGCGCTGACGCCATTCTTGGCTCCGCCAGGGGCGGCCGTGAGTCACTGGGCGTGGGTTTAAAGGGCTAGCGTCCAGGCATTTCGGATCGGGCCGACGCCGGCTTCCGCTATCTGGGAGCAGACCAGCAGCGACTGGCCGACGCAGCGCGGCGATTCGGCAGCGCGATCACCATTGCGGCGATGGGCCAATTTGCGCTGGCCCAACGCGACCGCCATTTTGGGCAAGGCGTCGCAATTATGTCCAAAGCGAGCAAACCAGGCTCAATGCGCATTTGCACAATTTCATGGCCCAGAGGCTCCGCTGGTTACGCCGACGCGGGCCCGGGCGGCGCCGCGCGGGCCGCGCGCCCTCGCGCCGAACTGGCCGGGACAAGCGAGCGCTGGCGCCGCTGCGGGGGGCGAGCTCAGGGCCATGCCGCCGCGCCGCGCGCGCCCCGAACCGCAGCCGGCCCCGCGGCGAATGGGCTTCGAGGGCCCCCCCGTCGCCCCGCCGAATGTCCGATGGGATTTTGCGTGCGCGAACGCACGCCTGCAGGCGAAGCAGAAACGGGTCTGTCATAGCCTGGGGCTGCAATGCGTTTTCTGTTTTGCATGTTTCAGTTTGCCGCGGGGGTTGCTGGCCGGCCACGGGCTCGCGCAGTTTCAGCGCGCGCGAAAGAGGGCCTCCACGGCGCCTGGCTCAACGCTCTTGCCGCCCAGCGCGCGCCCGCCACTGCGCCCTCCGCGCCGCCGCTGCCGCGCGCCGTGGGGCCGCGAGCGCGGTGGCTCCATTCCATGCTCTCGCGTGGGAAATGAACCGAGCGGCGCGGGCAGCCAGGTCCGCGACGACCCCGCCCAAGTCCCCAGCAGTGACCGCGGGGCCCCGATGGCCCCATCGAAGACGCAGACGATGCTGGCGGATTGCTGCAGGTTCGTCACCTCGCCAGGCGCGAAGTCAGCCGCCGCGACTGCCTCCGACAGAGGGGGGCGCATCGGCAAGGGCACGAACTTCATCGAACGCATCTAGCTCGCGGCCGCTGCATGGGGCCCGCGGGAGACAGCGCGCGCGGGTTTCCACGCCTGGAAGGGGGGCGTTCTGATCGCGTCGCGGAGGATATCCAGCGTCGCAGCTGCGGGCCGCTGCGCCGACCCACGCGAAGCGACACCGTGCTGCGCGAGTGGAGACAACTGCGAGAAGCGCGCCACTTTTGCCGCGCAGCACGGCAAAACTCGCAAATCACGCACGCAAGCGAGCGCAGGACCTTCAACGGGCTGGCCAACTAGGACCAGCCCGTGCACCTGGTCAACCGCATGCGCCACTTCGGCCACGGAATGGCCCGGCAGGGCAATGCCCATCGATCTGCGGCGCGAGGCGCGACTGACGACGTCGCCGCCGCCCGCGCCCGGGATGCTGACGGACGTCGGCATCCGGCCATCTCCGCCAGGCGAGAGGCGGGCGATTGATTTCAGGGCGCCGCAAGCCCCGCCAGTGGAAGCGGCGTTGAGCAACGATCCCTTCATGGGAAACGTCGAAGACAACCCGTTGGCGGTTCCGCCGTGGCTATCGAACCTACCGGGGCAGCGGCGCACCGGGGAGCGAACCTTGCCGCCAGGGGCGCGCGGCAGGGGCGCCCCCGCGTACGCGGGCTGCACTCGCGCGCTTAGGGCATCGCCGAGGCGCGCCTTCCACCGACGAGCCCCCCCCGCAAGACGCGATCTCGGAGCTGTGGCGGTGTCGAGCAAGGCCCCGACGACTTCGCCGGCGCTTGATTCCGCGGGGCCAACAGTAATGCCCAGCGCGCCGCGCGGCAGCTCGGCTTCCTGCGCAGCTACCTCTGCGGCGGCGATCGCACCCCGCAGAGGAAAGTGCGAGCGGGCATCTCGGCCGAATCATCGCCGCTGCGTCGTTGGTGCAACCGTCGAGAGGAGACGCAGGAACGCGCCATTTGGAGATGCCATTGTCCGGCTCATGAGCGCGCGCGCGGCGCTGCGGCCCTCTGGGCGAGGGCGCTCGACTCTTCGACAAATGGGCCCACCTCGCCCATGACGAACTCCCGCAGCCCATCCCTAGACCGCCGCCAGGAGGCCACGGCGAGGACCGCCTCGAAGACTGC